CACGGATGGGAAAGGGTGCAGGCTACTTTCCTCACCACCGCATGGTGCAGGCTACTTTCCTCACCACCGCATGATTACTATTGGAGTCAGTCTGGACATATAATGACAATAACGCATGCCTATATTGGCACCAAATGGGTCTCCTTCTAGCGACTAAACACTCACAGTATCAGAAAGAGCGATTGTGACGTTCTTTCCAGCGTCGTCTTTCGCTTTTGTGTTGGTGAGATTTTCAACCCCTGCGGACACAATGAAAACCATGCCAGCACGAACCTGAACGAAAACAGCTAGAACGATTTCATGGGATAGAATCTCTACGCAGAAATTTCTTTTCGAAAGCCTCGACAAATAGGAAAGTATACCTTCTCTTCACATTTTGGACTGATCGTTAAACCACCTTCACGAAATTCAATACCAGTAACAAATCTGAAAGAGTAGGTTGGAAAGGTCCTCGTCCATTCTGACATCTAGTAGCTCAGCAGCATCATTTCATGAAAATCGAACTCACCCGAAATCCTTTTTGTAGAGATTATCAGCTATACTGGGACATTTCTCACGGAACGTCTTCACTCCCACTGCATAGACATCACTCAATTTCGCGCCAGGTTTTAGCGCTTCTATCACTGCCATTTGAGTAGCAAGGAGACCTTCGTACGCTTCTTCCAAATTTTTGGACGGTTCCACCATCAACGTACGAGTCAGATTAGTACAGTAGTTCTACAATCACATAAAATCATTTCCATGGATGTAGAAAAACCGAACCAGCAAAAAATCGGGAGGGGATTTCTCCAAACTGCTCGGGAGCTAACATAAGAGAACGTGAAATCAGTTACCTCAAGACGAGCTCCAAGTGACGTCACAATAACACCGTAGTGGAGAAGTTTGTCGTTACTGAAACACTTGCATCAAAATGGAATAAAGGAAAATATGAAGAAGGTAAGATCCTAGAAAATACCTCTCTGTGCTCCATTTGAGTGAATAATTGCCACCACTCATAATGATGGGATTATAGCAAGTTTCAATAGTTTTGTTCTTAGCTAATTGTCCCTGCACTTTCAATGAACCTATTTCGGCATCAATTTCATTGGCAAGACGTGAGTGTTTTACTTTCTGAAATGAAACCTCTTCCATTGATTATCAATGAGCTACGAGCCAAATCAATAAAAAACCTTCTCTTGATCAATAGCCTCGATGAACTTCTTTCGTGCGTAACTCCATGCATTTACCGAAGCTGTAGCTGAACTTCGACAAGTTTCCAGTTCAGGATCATCTTTGACGGCGAAAATGTGAACGAAAGCTCCAGATACGTCCACCTGAACGGTTATACTTTCATGGCGTAAGCATAAGCTTGCTGCTTTCGAACGAAATGTACAACGCAAGATTCCAAGCCAAGGAACAATAGAAAAAGCGCAGACCTTTTCTACATCAGCGAATGCCTTCTGCCAATCGTTGCTAAAATCCGAGTCGAATGTGTCCTTCGCGAAATGGCCAACCTTATTTCCAGCATCATCTTTTATATGACCCAAAAGCTTTGCGAAATTGGCCGCATCTTTGTCAGACTGAAATGATGAAATGCTTCCAACCTATTTAATGGCAGGCACTGCCCCACTATTCCGGCTCCAGAAAACTAGAGCATTCTTTTGCTGAAGCTCTGCCCATAGGTGTGACTCGATGTGCTGATCACGAACATGATAACTAGTTTGGCGCTGGCGCCATTTGGCGGCACTATTTTTTTCACTAAAATCGGTAAACACCTGTATACGGGGGTTTTTGACATCCGTTCACGAGTATGACATTGGTTCTGGTCGCTGATGCCATTCGTCAAATGGCGCCAATTCACCGTGAACACCTTTGTTACCAAAATCGATGAAACTTACAAAACTGGGTTCACTGATATCTTGATCACCAAAATGACATTTATTTTTATCCCAGCGCAACTGAGCGGCTGAGCCTGAAACGATTCCCTTCCCGCCAGGCTCAGCCTAAGCGCAGATGATCTCAGTGCCCTGCATTAGCGCCGATTCCAAGAATATTGGAACATTCATGATCAGGATGTCAAATGATCCCCGCAAACAAGTTCCAGAAAATGAACATCATATTCGTAATCATGGCACTGAATAACATTGTGGGCAAAGTTTCACCGAAAAAATGCTTCGAGTTCTTGTAGTCGTAATTAATAATGGGATTGTGCATTGTGTTCTGCGAGTACTTTGTCTCTATGAATCGGTGTAACTGGGGGCACCACTCCAACAAACTCATCCGACTTCACACTGTTGAAGTAATCTGCCTTCCGGTTGCTTGCTAAGACGTAAATTCCTGAAGCAACAAATTTAAGACATACTCCGGATGAAAATGAATCGACGAGCATTTTGTTCAGGGTAAAAGAACTGACCTTTTTTAGTAAACAACATCAGTGTATCTAACAGCTCCGTATTCAGCATCCATATCTAAAGAGGAAACCCTATAACCACTCTCCAACTAAATTACTTTGGGAACTTCGGCTGAGATCACCAACACACTCACCTGGAACGCTTTCGATTTCGAGTACTGTACCGCTCCTTCATCTTGACCAACTAAAACCACCAATGCATCTACTTCACCAAGTCCATCTTCACCTTTATTCTAAAATTTATTCCTCGTAGAAAGATAGTCGACGTCAGGTTGGCAGCTTTCCACTGAGAAGCCGGAAGAATTCGCAAAGAATTTCGCAAAGAACTTCGTTATACTAACCCATGTCTCATAAGAAGTGTGCATGCCGAGAAACGCTCCTTGTCAGCGGTGGCACTTCTTCTCCGTAATACTAACTGAAGCACTGCATTTCAGACTCAGCATCTCTCGTGCGCAATTTTCGGGCAAAATTTGACGTTCACGATAAGTGGGAAACCAAAACAAAACAGAATTCAGTAACACATATATTTTGAAGAACACTATTCAATGTTTCTGCGTTCAGAACACACGAGCCTGCTGAGAGGAATACACATATAATCGCGAGGTCATGAATGTCTATACAACGAATCGAATAACAGACTAGACAGAACAAGGTTACTCACTTAACAACCTCCTAAGCTAGCGACTGTAAAGGTTCTGACGCTATTCGACTTGGGAGGGGCATTTTGCACATTCGCTATTTCCTCTTTCTACTACCTGTAACTACACGCCACATCTTGGTGGGACCTGTATACTATGCCAAGTGTAAACGATGCTCCTGCTACTGCACACCTTTACAGGGATTTACAAGTCTCCACAGGAAGCTCGACAGTGACCGATGAAAACCAGCACAACGGCCCAACCAAGCCGAACCACGCCTAAGTCCTTATTAATGGTAATATATACATGGGTAATCAATGCGAAAATAATTGTATGAGAACGAACTGGTCATAGTAAAACGTACAATTGAGGCACAATGTTCTACATTACAAATTATTAAGGTTCAAGAGGTTGTGGCACTTCCTCTTCCTCTTCGATTTGCTTTTCAGAAGTGGTTTTCATTTTAGCTGCATCCGATAGTTTCTCGCCTGTAACTATTGAACGGACTACTTCATTGAAAGCGTCTGGTGCGTCTGCATATACATGATGTCCAGCGCCTCGAATAATCTGGAAGATTTAGAAAATAACCAAAAAAATCACTTTTGCTAATCGTTTAGAAGTCTACCTGCACATCAACGTATCCATTTCTCTGCGCTTGAATGTCAAACGCTGGTCCAGGATCTATCCAACTCTTACTGCCGTAAATAAATGTCACAGGAACGCTATCGTCAATACCATTGAATCTGGAAGACCCCGCACCGTTAGGAGAAAATCGGAGAACAACTGTGCTCGATATCTCGCTCACACAAAGGCAACTATTGGAATGATGGGGCGTGTCCACGCGACCGCGTTTGGCGCGACGCCAACCAGTTTTTTTTCGTTCCTTCCTCTCGGCAAGCGCAGGACTGTATCACACGGATCAGTCGTTTTTCACCAGTTACTTTCACTGATCCGCTTGAACAACTGATGGAGAACGGATTTGGTAGACGGCCAAACGCAGTCGCTTGGA